GTTTTTAAACCAAACGCACGGCAGGAAATAGTGCATTTGTTGGTGACTATTTTTAGCAGCGGATTAATACACATTTCATGCTCTAGTGAGTATTTGGGGCAGGAGGACAGTGTGTGTGGGACAGAGTCACAATAAATGAAGTTATAATAAAGTTTTGGACAATAATGGAGCTCAATGGCAAAGAGGAATAATAAACACACAATATACGCACAATACTTGTTAGCATATCATATTAATCACTGGTGACTTTAACTGAAATTTTAAAAATAAAATAAAAAATGTACTGACAACATATAAATCGAACTTAAACAAATTGCTGAGCTTTTATTTTGAAGTTGAGGATATTTTAATGTTCTTTCAAATGGCCTCTTCAGCTCTAAATGTCATCCTCATCAGCTGGAAGGCACGGCGTCTTTTACCAGAAACTATAACTATCTTGAAGTTCAGCAAAATGTCATCGGTCTTGGTTTACTGTGGTAGCACACCTCAGCCACAATCCCCGCTCGTCCTTTTCTCAGTAATACTCAAAAGACATGATGACAGAACCAAAGTAAGAAGAAAAAAATCTACTCTTGGATCATTCACACAACTTCTGTCTAATTTCATTTTGAAGCTCAGCCACTGCGGAAAATCAAACCTCCTGCATGTACAGTCTGGTGTGATACAGTGAGGTAAATGGAACAACAGCTGGTCTCCGGTGAACCCAAGTCTGTGTAAACACTGTCACATGTCATGAGCATCCATGTTAGATCTGGATTATGTCCAGATTATATTGCTGTATGTGGATAATCCACCTTTAAAAAGCAGGTGGGGAAAGCAACCCAGATGCATTAAGAAGCAACTGAAATCACTCAACACCACTTCAGCAGACAGTTGTTTAAGTGCAAATGCATCCATCTCCACATATAACATTTTAGCGTGACATGATGTCTCTGAAACCACATCAGTTCCACAATCACAAGCATGGATGACACACGGCTGTAAGGACACTGAGGAGAGGAGCTGCCCCTAATATTAAGAAAACAAAATGCATGATATAGATTGTAGGTTTAGAAATAGCTACTGTTATTTTTGAAAAACAGGGAGGGGGGGTTAATAAGTTGGTTGCACATGCAGAAAGCAGCAATCAAATTTTAGTCTGAATGACTGGAATCACGTCGAAGCGCAGAGGGTAAATACACTGTGATGAAATGAAGTGACTCCGAAGCAACAGACCGAGGATGTGTTTGAGGAGTGTCAGTTTGTTCCCACAGCTCTTCATCAGCGTGTCCGGAGCACTTGAGATCTGACTGATCAACGATCAGTCACACAGCTGGGTGATCGATACAGTCTGCAGCAGAGGGAAACACACGAGGAAACAACAACAACACCGGCCGAACGAGCACAGCTAAACCCACTGAGCTCAAACACTATACTTCAAAAACCCAATTAGGAAAAACACGTGCTGCTGTGCTGGTTAATTATACCTTTAATTACTGCTTGATTAACCATTTCATGTTGAACTTTTTGAGTCTGGAGTGAGTTCACTCTGGGAAAAAAAGGCAAAAATAAAAGAAACTTTAACTGCAGGCTAAAATCAGTGAATGCAGTTTGGCTGGGCACAGCCGGGGGGGGGCAGCTGGAAAGAAGAAAGATTTCATCTAGGAAGTACTGTCCCACTGTCTATAAAATTTGATTTGATTAAAACAATTAACCGACTAGATGATTAATCGACTGTCAAAACATTAATCAACAACTGTTTTATGAGGATTCTATACACTCACAGGAGCCATTTTCAATACCTGATAATACCTGCAAACTTTTACTTGAGTAATTTTTTCAGTGCACGCCCTTTAGCTGTAACAGATTGTTTTGTTTTTTTTTACAGTGTAGAATCGATACTTTCATTTAATCGAAGGATCTGCCACTGTGGAAAACAGTGCTTGCCTTATTGTGGACAGAGAGAGTACAGTGTATCTGTAGTGGTGTGTTAATCCTCAGAAGACCAGCTGTTATCTGTTGACCTCTCTGCTGGTACAGCACACACACACACGCACGCACGCACACGCACACACACACGCACACACACGCACACACACTTCCTTGGGAAAATACCTGCAGCTAAAACATGTTTGACCATCAAAGTGGAAGATTGTACAACACTACCATCCCCTCGCACTGCCACACACACACACACACACACACACACACACACAACATAACCCTGACCTCATTCCACTGCGTACGCCGAGATACAGCCACTTACACACTCTCCCGCTTTCTATCGCTATCTCACACACACACACACACACACACACACACACACACACTGGGTGGCAGTAGCCTGTAGGCGTGCGAGCAGCTGTGAATAATTGTGTTTACAGATGGCATACGTACGACCTGTGGGTTGAGAAAGAGAGAGAGAGAGAGAGAGAGAGAGAGAGAAAGAGAGAGTTGGTCTTCTGGCCCTCACAAAAGAAGACAGAGATGACATTTAAACTGAAGCTCTCTCTCCCTTCCTCCTCTTTCTCTCTCTCTCTCTCTCTCTCTCTCTCTCTCTCTCTCCACTTTCTATTTTTGCCAGATTCAGCTATTTCACTTCGGTTGGCTTAATTGGCATAAGTGGTAACGAGGCGTTAACAGCCAAAGCAGAACAATGAGCAGAGGCATGAATAGAAAAAGACGCTGAAGTGTTCAGATATGTGTCTAATTAATCATTTGGCCGCAGAATGAAGGTAAATGAAGTACTTTATTTATACCAGAGGGAAAATGATCTTTTAAAGTAAAACAATAAAAGCCACCAGCTACTGTACCACAATCTAATCTCTATATTATAGGTGTAAGGCCGTGTGCAAAATAAGTATCACAGGGTCAGGCTACATAAACTTAATTATGCCAATAACAGCTGACACTCAATTTAAATAACTGTACAACACCAGAACAAACGTATGAGCCTTGAAAATAATAAGAAATGTTACTGAAACATTTAAATTTTTTGTTTAGTGTGTTAAAGTGCCAGTGGTCCTTTTTGTTCATTGTTTGTGAATATAGTTCTTACTTTTTGGACCTGGTTTATCTCAAATGCAGTTAGGCTACTGTAAAAGTTTAGAGCAGCCTACAACTGTTTTCATATGAGAAGTGAAATATTACTGGGAAGGCTGGAAAACAAACTCCAGTAGAAAATTCATGTAGCCTTATAAAAGCAGTGATAAAAAGAGGATTATTTCAAATCATGACAACCACTCCTGATGAGTTTAAAATCACTTTGACTGATGTCTACAACACATGAAACTGATGATGCTAGCTTCTCTTTACATTCAATTCATGACTCTTTTTTTTCCCCAGAAAATCAGAGATAAATCCAAGTGCAAATTTCCCAAGGGGATAACAACATGCCAACAAACTGTGTCTGGTGCTAGCATGTTTCTTGACGAACTACATGTTTAAAGTAAATCAGGAAGTGTGGTGAGGTGATTCAGCATAAACACATTTCCTACAGCTATAGCTAACGAAGCTAACAACTGGCTATAGCTACAGCTAACATCAATGTTCAATCCACTGTCAACATAACATGAAGTAAGTCATTTTTTATGAAACAAACAGAGTACACATGCTAACGTCAAGGTAACAATATGCTAACAAGATGTGTAAATTTAATTCCCTGCCAAACTCAGTCATGATACAGCTCAGGTCAAACCAAAAACACAAGTTAGCCGCTTTTTAACAGCTTCTGATCTGAACTGTGGATTTACACAAAAGGTATTGTGTAAATAAGCATATTGGTATTAGGAAAACAACACAGTGGCACAGATTTCCAGTAAAGAGAGTGAATAAAAGTCAGTGTACTAACGTCATGACAATCTGTAAGCAAGATGTGTACGTTGAAAATAAATCACAAAACTCAGTGTCTTGTGATTAGACGGTCTCTCTATGCGGTGATGTCATCAGCTAACAGGCTAAACCACTAGCTAGTAATGCTCCCAGCTTTTACGCCTGTTACTGCTACTTTTCAGTTCAGTGTTTTTACATTAAAATAGGAAAAAAGAAAAGTCAACATGCGAACGTCATGACAAGTTTGTTTCTCAACTTCACCAAAACTAATTACTATTACATGACTTCAGACACATCAAAAGTAAACCAAGAAACACATTATATGTCTTGTTGTGGTTTGTGGTTATGTAGCCTCGTTTAGCATCATTCACACCTTTTAGCAACATAAACTTAAGGAATTTTCCCTACTATTTTAGTGTCTTTGCATCAAAACAGGCAAAACTGTAAAAGAAAATGTTAGCAATGTGCTAAGACACTCAAAAGTAAAGCAGAGTGTGTTTGTCTGTGTGTGTTTAGACAGTCAGATGAATCTGTGTGGTGATGTAGCGTGATTAGCATCTCTCAGTCTATCATATCCGCGAACAGGCTACAGCTAACTGGCTACGGCCGCTACCATTCCCGCAACCTTAAATGATTTCCAAGCTGCTTTCCTGTAAATGCTAAACAGGGACAGACACATAATATATCAACATGCTATCATGATGACAGGCTGACAAAATGCTAACTGCTGACAGAGGGAATGTATTATGTTAGCGTGTTTCCTGCTAGCCTCCCTCTGTGGGTCTATAAGTGGAGCTGATGGAAGGGTGGGCTCAGTATGATTTACATAATTGAGATGTTAATTCGTTAAGCCGTGGGAGTTGATTATGTTGCATATTGATTGTGTTGTGCTGCTGTGAGGTCACACACCTCTTTAACGAAGGTATACACAGCGCAGGGAATTGTGGGAATCTGATTAAAAATACAAGGTTAACATTCCTGCTGACATGCCGCATTTCGACACACGGGGAAAGGTGTGTGTGTGTGTGTGTGTGTGTGTGTAATGCAAACAATAATATGTGTGAAAGCCTGCAGTGTTTATGTTGTTTTGAGTGTCTGTGTGTGTTTGTGTGCGCTCCCCTCGAGGCTGATGGATGGATGGAGGAGGTGAAAAAAGGAGTAGAGGGAGGGGAAACTCCACCTGGTCTTACCGTTCTCCGGGTGCTCCATCTCGCCGATGCTGCCGTCGGGCGTGGTCCGCTCGTAGTGATCCTCCGGCAGCGCCAGCGGGCCGATCCGCGGCCCCGACGAAGACTTGGAGCTGGGGGTCTCCGACTCCTCCAGGCCGCTGTCGTAGTAGCTGTGCTGGGACGCGTCCTGCAGGTCCTGAGCCTGGTTGGCCGTGGAGAAGGTCACTCGGCGGTGGGGGAGCTGAGGACAGAGAGAAACAGGCAGGATTAGTTTTATATTCAACATACGAGATGGTTTTTATTAGGAATCAGTTTCGGTTTGATCTGATGCAGGTGAATCAGTTTAAATGATTAAAGCAGAAGCCAGACTGTAAAAATAACTTTGAAGAAGTCATTTAGACACTTCAGGACTTTCATTAGTGTGCTCTGTTCTCAAAGTGACTGATTTAAGTTTGATTCTGCAGCTCGAACCACAAAGATCAATCAACTTTAATCTATCATTTCATATCAACAAATCAGTTCTCATCTAATTTCATCTCATCGCTGCTTTCAAGTCATCTCATCTCTCTCATTTTGCGCCTTCTGATTATGTCTTTTCTTCTTCTTCAGTGTTTTCATTTACAAACTCATCAGCTGAAGACACTGAAGTCTGCCTCCCTGACCGACGGCTTCACAGCCACTAAACTTAGCAGGGAAATTAATTGGCGAGCTTAAAAGAAAAACTGATGTGCTCAAAAAAATTTCCCCTCTGCTGTCTCAGTATCAGTTAGTCAAGGCTGTCTAACTGTGGATACACTTGAAAATGACAAGACGTGATACAATTAAGTCAGTAGCAGCCGCCCGACGGAGGTTTTCCTCACCAGTCAACACACTTCAGGTTTAAAGGTTCCCTGTGGACTTTCAGACCTCCGGTAGAGAGGGTCCCCGTTTTGTTCATCTCACACATATGCACATGCACACACACAGTTCTGCCAATGGTGTCACATGACTCCACTGATGAACAGGTGGCGGTAACACACCAAGACGTGGAGCAACGTGCCAGCAAAGGCAGAGAAGAGGGCGACTGCTAGCTAGTTTTAAAAACCTAACTTTTGTGTGTTTACAAGAAAACTCCAGAGACAGCCTTTAAGTTTCCACTTCAACAAAATTAAAAATAGTTCAAATAAAATATTGTTTCTTTAAGATCAGAGAACAAAAGTGACGAAACATGTAAAAACATCAAGACACTAGATGAAACATCGCAAACACAAGATCTCCATGTTTTAGTAAAATAAAACAAGATGCAAATTGTAAACATACACAGTAATTAAATTCAATACTTCATGTTAAGCATTTCAAATAAGAGGCACCAAAGGTTTAAGGCCCTGACCATGAAGTGCTACATCTCTGAATCACAGTTAGCCTTCATTTCCCATCTTGCTCCCCTCATAGACATGATGCTCCGAAATAATATAAATAAAACATATTTAAAATAGTTTACACTTTAAAAAAAAAATAAATAAATAAAAAATATATATATATATATATAAGCTGCATCTGATTACATATCTCATCTCAACTCATCTCGAAGGGCTCCAGATTTAGATTTGATGAGATTGATGAGATGAGATTTGATCATACAAGTTACTCTGCGAGTTACTTTACATCATAGGTGTATGAGCTCGCTGGCCACTGCAGCTAACTGAAGCACGGATGGGTCTAAGGATGATGACCGGGAGATAATGACCGGGAGCTGGATTCAATGCTTTTCCAGACTTTTCAAGGCCTTCCAGGCAGCCTGTTTGTGGCTGGTTTCCTCTGAAAGTCTCCAGCATGTGTTTGGTTTCTGTCGTGAAGCCCTTCGGTTTTAATAAAAGCAGCAGGCTGAACACACACTTTACTGCTCCATTTACTGTGTGTGTCTGGGGGGGGGGCAAGGTTGCCGTCTGACTTGTGTGTGTTTGATGGTTTTGTAATTGAAATTCAATTATCCTCCAGACACCACACACACACACACACACACACACACACAGACACATACACACACACAGCAAATACACTAACTGTGCCCTAATTCAAAGACACACAGTGCGCAGTCAAACATTTCAATCTCTCACACACACACACACACACACACACACACACCTGACCGACCAGCCCGGGCTGATAAAGAGCAGTGTCCCTGTCTCAGCAGATGCTCTGTCACCATGGCAACTGGGCGCTGTCAGGACCCTGAACCAGTACAACCAGCGGATCAGCGCTCATCACACTGAGACACACTGGGTTTGAGCTCTTTTTAATGCCTTTATCTCCTCTTTTTCTAAGCAGCTTTTTCTTTTTTGCAGCAGCTGAAGGGTTTGTGTCTCAGGCAGCCCGCTCACCTCTGATTACAAATCACACTCTCTATTGCTTCTGCAAGATGGTGCGTCTTCAGTCAGTTTCCCTGCTGTTTGCATTTAAAAGAGCCCGAGATATTTGGCTAAATCATAAAAAAAAAAAGAAAATCTCTTTAATTCTCCGGCCAGAATTAATGTCGCAACGATGGAAAATGTACAAAACTCAAACCACACCGGGGCTGTCCTTTAAAACTGTGTGGACACGATGTGCTGTCTGGGCATCAAACGCCCAGATCCCCGGTGCTGCAGGCGACAGGCCGCTCTCCAGTTAAAAACATTCAAACACTCAGCAACAACTGGACTTTCAGCTGATCTGAGAACTGACACTTCCTGTCTTTATTCTCAGTAGAAATCCCTGGAACGAGACGAGCTCAAAGAGGTCACCGTTTGTGTTATTGTATTTGCATAAAACTAGAGTTATTATGTAATGGAAGCAACAAACACTCAAATGTACATCTATTTTTCTTTCCGGTTCGGATTTATGCAAGAACAAGGACTGATCCTGAGATTTTAGACACTAAAAACAATGAAAATGTGTTTGCTGTTATAAATCTGTTGTATATAAACGTCATTGTTAAGAGACAGAGTTGAAGTGATGCACGCACGTCATTGTTTCTGTATAAAATACTTATGTTTAGTTTATTTTTGCGTCGTAAAATAGCTGTGATCTGACATCTACGTGATGTCTCCCCGTGTCCGATAACGGTTCAGCCGGACGCGACATAAAGGTAAAAACACCTGTTCAGCAGTGTTTGCTGGCTCTGGCTCTGGCTGCCTGAAAAGTTGGACAAAACAGTAAAGTTTAGCTTCGGAACATGTTGGGCAGTGATGGAAAGAATGTGTGATTTGTCGAACTGAAACATCTTTGTTTATTTTAAAGTTGTTTCCAGTGTCATGCAGCCAGTTTGTTCCTCTCAGGATTCCCAACACAAATAATACACAACACACGTTCACAAAGAAGAAGAAGAAGAAGAAGAAGAAGAAGAAGAAGCAGCAGAGCAAAGTGTGGCTGTTATTAATAACTGCTTCCTGCTTCCAGCTTCTTCTGCTGTGTTTGCTGTGCGAGCATTATGAAATAAATCACATCTATATATACATGAAGAGAGAAATGAAGCGTATCAAATCGTCCCGATCCCTCTCCTGACTGTCTGTCACCTGCAGCACACTCTCACACACTGTCACACACATTCACACACATTCACACACATTCACACACATTCACACACATTCACACAGACTCTGAAAAATCCTTGTTTTTTGTGCCTGTTTTGTACCTCTTCTTGTGTGTGTGTGTTTATGTGTGTTTGTTTGCTGGAAATAGAAGTGCCATCTCAGCAGGTTGCACCATGGGAAACTGGAGCAGATCAGAGGGGAGGAACATAAAGACCAACCAACATCCAGAACAACCTCCACCTCAGCCTCTGCCCAGCCAGTCAGCCGCCCGCCCGCCATCTTGTGCCCGCACAGGACGCACTCTTGTTCCAGACCGCCCGTCGCATTGGAGCACAAAATGGCTGCCGCGTGCCTGACCGGGCACTGTGGTGTTCCTCGCTGCCCTATTTTCTGTCAAATCTCAACTCTGAACCTCAAAGACGAACAAACGGACAAACTCCTGCTGCAGCTGGAGGAGACGTTTTACACACAGAAACCTGCAGACTGTCGGCGAGCAGGGACGGAGGATCATTGATTCAGAAGAGTGATCGTGACATTTGATCGGGGGCTGGGGCTCAGGGAGGGGGGGTTCAGGCTTCATTAAAAGGTCTTTAATGGTCCAAAACTATCTGAAACAATGAAACTCAACCTCTACCTGACGTGTGCAAATTACCTTTTTAAAACAATGAGGCCTGATCTGAGATCAGACCTGAGGATAATTAGACCTGATCCAAACAGAGACAACATGGCAGCAACATGAGGTCCAACCAACAGCTGCACTTCACTGCTTTACTGGACACACAGACCAGAGACCTGCAGAGACCTGCAGAGACCTGCGTCACAACAACAGGACTAACCTGAACATAATTTAGACCAAGCCCGACATCGAGTTGTGTTTTGTCTGAGTTACTACTGGACTCATGAAGACCTCTACCTGGCAGTCCGGAGATAACTTCCCTCGTCATCTGATCATAAAGTCCTCCGACCTGAACGACGAAGCAGACGTTCGTTTCGTCACTGTTTGGTCAATGGAAACTAATGTTTTTCTATTTCAACCAGCGCAGCTTTTCTCGCCCCTTCAGGGGACTGGTCATTTTTTAAAAAGCCCTGTTATTTAGTTATTCTTATTTCCTTGAAAGGACAAAAGAACATAAAGTTATTATATTATTATTATTATTATTATTATCAAACAGGAAGCATTATTATTAACAATCAACCTTTTGGTTTAGGCCTTTCCTCAGCTCAAGTGGTTCTTTACTGGATGACATTATCTTTTACATGAATTATACATCCGTATCTTTTCTTATCCACCAACAGGAGGCTACTACCTTATGCTGAGTTGTATAATATCATTATTATTTTATTTTTTTAACCTTTATTTATTCAGGGTTCCTGAGGTAAGCTCTCTTTTACAGGATCGTTCGCATCACACAGTTACACACATTCACACCTGGAAGCTGCTCGCTGCTGAGGCGACTGGCAGTATCCGACTCATCTTTTCAGCCGCAGAGGTTATTTTCTAAAACAACAAAAACAAAATAACAACAGCGTGTCCCGTCATCCATTTTAAACTGTTAATATTCCGAGTTTTGACTCTACGTGTAACGTTTAATGGCCAGTGCGCTGGTTGAATACATTGTGATGGTGATGAAGGTCAGTAATTAAGAATTCAAGGAAAAGCAGCTCATCACGGCTCCTTCCTCCACAGCAAACT